AGTCTGGGCCCAAGGCTGCGTCTGAGTCTGAGTCCGTGTTCTCTGTCCCTGGGCCTTCAACGTCCGAGTCAGTGGCGGTGCCCGAGCAAGGGGCCTGGGATGGACTGCCTTCGTCTTCAGCCTCGGCCCTGCTTGCCTTTGAACCATCATCTGATGGGCCGCGGCTGTGCTCATCCTCATCGTCATCATCATGACTGTCATGTTTATCATCATCAATCTCAATCTCCAACGGTGCAAAGATGCTCGGTGTCTGTGCTAAGAATGGATGATCAAGATCAAGCCGCTCGAGCCCATCGTTGTGAGGGCCTTTCACAAACTGCCGCCACGCTGGATTTGCAGCTGCGATGCACGAAGGAACATCATCGAGCGGGTCGTACATTCTCCTAGGTCCTAGACCAGAGCTAAGGACCTACGATACTACAGCCTACAGGGCTTTAGGCTCGGACAGACTTTTAAATTGCCCAAATGGCTGCGGCCGCAAATGCCTCAAGCCCTGGTGCTGTGAGTTTTGGCCTGCCTCTGGCATTTCACATTGATTCCTGGCCACGCGGCATGCAGCGCCCTGTTTTTTTATCAGGAGGAGTTCCGGAAGTGCGAAACGCACTGGGCCTAAGGCCTTGGGCCTTCGGCGCCTTCACATCGTTGCCTCCAGTCAATGAGTCAAGGTGTCAAGGAGCTTCTGACTTTCCGCTCTGGAAGCAAGGACTCGACCCAAGGCCTTCGGCCTTTGGCCTTTGCCATTGCCTCCGTTCAGTGGGCTCTGACTGAGACATGGCCCAAGGCCCAAGGCCTTCAAGCCTCAAAGACTCAAAGATAACTCAAAGACTTGGCTCGAAGCCTAGGACTAAGGACTAAAGACCAAGGCCTAAGGCTAAGACGACACATGCTGCACAATCCTGTCCAACTCCTCCGACGTCTTGCCCTGGGAAAAATCCCGGAGGAGTATATTGCCCATGCTAATGTGAAACTCTCGCTTCTTCTCCGGCCAGTCCTCGTCATCCAAGCCAGCCACCAGCCACCGCTTCAGCCGCAAGCGGCAAACATCATGCGGCAGCCCCCCCACCGCCGAGATTTCTTTTTTGCAGATCAGGTCCACGCCAGGGTCTGTGTGCCGGTGGCACAAAGCACTGAAACCCATGTGCTGGCCGGCCCGATACACTGGCGCCAACTGGAACGCCGGGCAAGAGCCCCAAACAACACTTCTGCGCTGCATAGTGCGAGGTCTCCGCTCTGCTGGCGCATCTGGCGGTGGGGGGACTGCCGCCACCTCATTCTCATCTAGGACGCTGCCAGAGGCACCGGAGCTGGCTGCTCCGGAAAAGCTGGGTTGCACATTCTCCTGGCGAGATGTCACTAGGCCGAAGGCCATAGCTGCTTGGTCTTTCTCAGATCCTGATGATGAGGATGAGTGACCCAGGCCCAGTGCCGCTGCTTCAAGCTTCTCCAGCTTTGCCTTGTCGACCGTGGCTGCAGAATCCTTGCTGCTTTTCTTTGCACTACTGCCGCTGGCTTTGCCAGTCCCTTGCTTTGGATCAGGCTTCGGCTTGGGGTTTGTCATTTGTCGAAGAGCAGCCAAGGCTGCTGCCTTCTGGCGCTCGGTTTCACGAGCTGCTTTTGCCTCACCGGGATCAACAAAATAAGAGGATGTAATGTCAAACTCGCTGAGATCCCTGACCCGACCCACTGCCAGAACGAAAAACGCCCAGTCGGTGGCTTGCTGCGCCAAGGCGTGAGCCAGATCCTTGTCTGACATCAGGACCAAGTCCCCAGTGCCTGTTTTTGCAAGCTTGAGGCAAATGTGAACCCCATCCCCCGGAACATCATCACGGACTGCCAGCTTGGCAAAAGCCGCATCAATCGGCGGTTTTCGAGTGTGGTAGGCCAGCACAAAGTACTCAGTGACGTCGGTGGCATCCGAAGCCTCGGCGGGGGCTCGGCTAAAGCCTAGGGCCTAGAGTCTAGAGTCTAGAGCCCACAGAAAGTCTAAAACTAAATGTCTAAAGTCTAGAGTCGAAAGTCTTAAAAGTCGAAAGTTTCTAAAGTCTAGAGATTTCACTGATATCACCTGGACCAGAAACAGAAACGATGAAGTGCAACAACCATGCGAGTTTCACTCGCGACTTGCGAGTGCTTCAAAAAGTCACCATGCCATACTTTGCCATGCTTCAGAACTAATCAACTGAACTAGTTTCAAGTTACTCAACTCCCCGGCCACCCAAACATCAAGATTAAACCTCCAGGTTTCAATGCTTGTAATCTCAACCCTAAGCCTTTACCTTGGCCTTGGACTTAAACGAACCAGCTAAAAAATTGAAGTTTAAAGTTTAAAGCTTATTTATAACTACAATTACGGTTATAACTACAATTACGAATAATTACGAGTCTAAATGTAAAAAGTCGAAATCCCTCTGCAGATTCTGCTGGAGTAGCCAGGCCCAGAACCAGGGGCTCCTCCGTGTGCGCCGACGGCAGTGGAGCGTGCGTCATGATGACGTGAACCAAAACATCGTGCAGCTCGCCAAAGGCGGTTTGCTGCGAATCATTCAGGGTGGCAACGCATGACCGGCGAGAGCACTTTGCAAAAAGCGTATACTCCGACTCAGGCCACGCGTCCATGGAATCAAAATTCTCTGGCTGGAGCTTGTTGGTCCGCTGACGGAAAGCTGTCACTTTCGCCTTCCTGGCACCATGGTGTTTCACAATCACCCGTCGGTCAAGGGGAAAGCCGCTGCTCGAGGCTATGTTCCACGGACCGCCAGCCGTCTCGGCCTGCACTCGAGCTCGAGCTTCAGCGATGAAAGCAGCTTTGCTTTGCAGATTCTGTGCTCTGGCCAGGCGCTGCCACTGCTTCCGATCATCGACGTCCAACGTTTGCCAAACGTTCTTGGCACGCCGCATGAACTGAGGCCAGCTTTCGACTTGGCCAGAGGCCAAGCGTCGTCGGGACTCTTGTGCGCAAAACATTTCCGAAAACAAATGCAAGCCCGTCGCCGAGGAATTCTTCCGCTTGCCTTTGACCCACGCCGGTCTGCTTTTGTTGTTGATGGGCTTCTTGAACTTGCCAGCTTTGATTCCTTGCTTTCTCCAGTTGTCCACCAAATGAGTGAAGGTTTGCGTGAAGTGCTTGGCTGCCAGCTGGGAAAGGCGCAGCTTAGGGCCTTTGGTCTCCGTCCACGAATTAAACCGAGCAAACATTCGCTCGACATACGTCGACGTTGGAACCACCCTGTCAAAAACTGCTGCCAGGAAAGACTCACACTTTTCACTCATCAAGAATGACTCACGCTCCTCATCAACGTCAGGCTCCGCGTCCACGTTTTCAGCGTCTTCGCTCGTCAACAGATCCTTTGCTTGGCAAAGCTTCTGAAGCTTGCCACTGAACGAATCCAGGCAGCATTCCTTTGCTGCCAAAAACTGGTCAGCAATTTTTTTCTTTTCATCCTGGCCATAGGCCTCCAAAAGCTCAACCAAACGCCAGGGGTACCGCTCCCAGCCATCAATGAGCTTTCGCCACATTTGGCCGATGATGGTAAAGACACACCGCCGCGTAGTTCGGAGCTTGTCTTGAGTCCATGTCAACACATCGCCATAGCATCCGACTAATGGAAGCCACAATTTGTGACGTGAGTCCGAAACCATGGACACGAGCAGTGCCAGAACTGTGTAGGCGGGGTTCATGGCTCCTTTGACAAATGCCGCCGTAGAAGCCAGGTCGGCCTGCAAGTCGTCCGTGTCCTCGGGCTGCACCCGCTCCGAGAGCCATGTCGCCTGTTTGAACAAGGCGAAATGAATTCGCATCACAGGAGCCGTTAGCACAGCCCACAGAAGGGTCAAAAACGCTGATGCCGCATCTGCCAGGAAAACAGCAGCTTTTCGATTTCGCTTTCTGGCCAACTTGCGCCAAAGCTTCGTCTGGTCAATGACCCCCAACTGCGAGGCCTCTGCTTCTCCTGCAGGCTCACCATCCGATTCGGAGGAAACCCGCCCTGAGGGCAATGTTGGAAAGCACTCTGCGAACACACCTGGCAGGATGCCGCAGAAGTGCTGCATCCCAGCCACAACCGTAGCACAAGGCGAAACAGTCGTCCATTTGTTCCTGGGTAAAGTCGCTGGTGTATTACTAGTATTACTTATACTTATACTGACTCAATATCAATTGAATTGCAAATGGCGGTTGAACACCTTGACTGCCCTGCATCTACTGTCTACTGGCAACTCAAAGAAAGGCCGAAACCCCAAACTTGGATTGAAACTGAGACTTGAACTCAAAACTTAAAACTTAAGACTCAACACAGACTTACGTAAATCAACTCAGACAAGTGAACCAATTGAACTTTGAACTGCTACGATAACCGAAATGAATGCCATGGCTGTGGCTGATGTACTTTCGCAACTTTAGTTCTCCTGTTTTGCTTAGCTAGCTCTTGGGACTGCCTTTCCACCACACCATGATGCCATAAGGCCACGCAGCAAGGCAGGGATGCACAGCTGCTGCACGAACAACCTTCGGACCAAGTCCACAGCCTTCTCGACGCTCTGCGCGCGGCTGTCACAGCAGCCATCTTTGCAAACGTGGGTGGGCGGTCCTGCAGGTCACAAAAGTGACAAAGACAAAGTTGACAAAGTCACACACAGTCCCAATTCTATGCATTGTCAGCTTCAGCTTGCACACGGAACCACACTGGCACACTGGTTGCGTTTTTTTTGGAAGCGCCGCGCTGTTGTGCTTCCAGAAGACTTGTGCGCTCAAGCAGCAAAACCAACGGCACCGACCGGAGGCCAGAACAGTCAAGGCTATAGGGCCATAAAAATATCAATCAGACTACCCTTACGCGGCACGGTGCCTTGGCCTTGCGCTCGATTCTTTGAAACTCCAAAACTCTACATGGTCTGGTCTGACACAATTAGCTTAGCAGCTCACTGAAAAGGGGCCGGCAAGATAGATCAGCATCGGCCATCGCAAAGAGCTCGCAACTTGCTCAGACCAGGCCAGAGGCCGGCTATCCGCGTCTTGGGGTGCGGTCGTAGCGGTAAGCAGACTCATAGGAAGGCGGTGGCAGCTGCGGCACACCACCCCATGTCCGCTGCAAGTAATTGGCCAGACTGATGCGGGTTTTGAGAGCGGCATCCACACATCCCTTGCCATGTGGACCCTGCTGGTTGATGTGCTGCGAAATCCTGGAAAAAGCCGCCTCTGAGGACCCCATCTTGTAATAGAGCCCGAAGAGGATCCTCTTCACCACATAGTCATTGCCTGGTTTTGGTTTCAACTTTCAACAACTACGGCTTCAGGAAAAGTTTGAAATTCACTAAGTTCACGGTAGGTCTTAGGCTCTGAATTTAGACTCTGACTACTGACTAAAGTGACTAAAGCCTAAAACAAAGTAACTTGGCATAGTATGAAAAGTTTTCGAGTTGCTAACTGTAAGTTCTGTCATGACTTATGACAGGTATGAGTCTTTCGTAACAGTTAAGTCAGTTAATTAATTAAGTCTAGCCCTAGCTTTGGGTTCCCCCAAAAAGTTTCACTTTTGGGGCTGTCTGCTTAATTTGTTAGGGTTGTGACTTGTGTTTTACTGTTTTACTGATTACTGCGTAAGAGTGTTTCAAGCCAAGCTATAGACAAGCTTCCTCTCGACGCAGCCATCATCAATGCTGTGGACCCAGTCAAAGACCGTGACATGATCGTCTGCACGCTGGAGTAGTCGATCAAACTCTTCAGGACGTTGCACTTATTGTCCGTAAAGACCCACTGGTCAACCAAAACCATGAGCGGAGTCCACATTGCTGGCTTTCCGTCGACCTTTGTGATTGCATCGGCCATTCCAGGATTTACTGAGAGGACTTTGTCACAGACCAGGTAATACCCCATCCTTGCAGCGTGATGCAAGATCGTCATCCCGTTCGTGTCAGCGAGCGCCATGATCTGCGCTGGGCCGAGCACCTCCAGCATCGGCATCACGTCCTGTGGTCGATTGGACAACCTGAGCGGCCCCCAGTTACGACAAGAAAACTGGAAAGCAACAGAAGGATACTTCACGCATGATCATGGTAGTCTGTAGACAGCAGTCATTAGTTGAATCAGGCTGCAATCCCAAACCGCAGAAAAGCAAATGTTTGAACATAACAGAGAAAACCGTGCAAACTACTATTACAGCTCTTTAACAACTTTAACACGTGAAAACCATACGTCCAAGTCTATGTCAAAGTCTGAGTCTAAGGCACATCAACCATAGTCATAGTCTTAGTAATCATAGACTGTCATAGACTGACTCATCAGCTTGACACGTGAATTACGACCAGGAAACATCGTGCCGAGCACTTTGTCGACCATGCCCTTGGTTGTGCGACGCTCCTCCTCTTGGTGCAGGAGTCGTTGCGTTTGGAGACGCTGGGACTCCAAGAGCTTGACAACCCGGTCCAAGACCTCACCGGCTGCCCCAGCTCCTTCGAGCTCCCTCATGACCTCCTCAAAGTCCTTTGGCGGTGCGTCCTCTTCTGCCTCTTCTTCCTCTGCTGCGGCGGCGGCGTCGTCATCCTGGTTTGCATCAGCAGGAGGTGCTGGACCTGGCTGGTAGTTGGCACTGTCGTCACTCTCTTCTGCATCCCCGACGGTGTCCATCTCGCGGCCTCATGTCTCGCAACACTGCAACAACAGTCACCAACTTAACTTACCTCTACTCATTATTTTTGACCGATTTGACACCAAATGCAAAACACAAAAGAATCAAAAGAAGACTCCTTGTCCTGAAGCCTGAAGCATGATGACAGGATCCAAAATTCTAGGAAGCAAAATTGCCAAAGGCCGGACTCGTGTAGAAAAATGAAAAATGAAGCAAACACAAAAGCTGGCTTACAAACAGTCTGGATCGAGGGTCGGGGGGTCGACACGGCCGCAGGCCCACCACTACCAGAGGCAAGGTCAGTATTCATCATAAAGTTGGAAAGCTTGGCATCCAGCTGCTTCAGGTCATACATGATCGCTCGAAGGTTGCTGAACTGGCTTGCTCGAACCTCTTCTGTATCAGCTTCGCCAACGTCCTCAGACTGATGGTCCGAGTCCGAGACGCGCTTCTCTCGACGGTTGACGAGGCGATCCATGCTGTCAGCAGCATCGGAGGTAATGTTGACCAAGTCATAATCCCCCTCAGACGACGACTACTACAACTACACTATAACGGTGTTTATACAATATTCAATATTCAGTATTTGAGTATATGACATAGAATACTGAAATACAACCACACATAGAATATTTCACATTTTACGTTTAATATGATTTCTGATTTGTACACTGCGGATACAGTTGGAGCTACAAAGTGTTATAGTGTTATTATAACACTTATTATGGCCTACCTGCCTAGCTTACAATCTTCAGCCCTAACCGCTTAGGCTTAGGCCTAGGCTTACGTATGGAACTGTTACCGATTACTGGCAACTGTTAAAATTTAAACTTGCGAATCGAATGTAATGAATGAGCTCCAGGGGCATCCGAGTCGGCGTAGATGTCGGATTCAAATGCCGGGTTCGAGGTGACCATCTCGTACTGACTTGTTGTTCCTCCCTGGTCAGAGACCATGCCCTGCTCAGGGAACCCTGACTCAGAACCCGAGGCCGAGGATTCCTCTCTCTTCACAACTTGCGGGGGAGCCATGGGCTGCGGACACCGCCTCTTCCTGCCCTGCTCAACATCCTCCATAGCCATAGAGGACGACAGGCTGAAGTGCTGGGGGGCTGTGAGTGCTTTGGGTCTCGCCGCCACTGTCCTGAAACCCAGCTCGAGGCACTTCCTCCTGAACAACATCGGGGTCTGCATGTCGTTGAAGTCCACCACAATGTCGCGGTCAGCAGACCCTGCCCGGATGACCTTCTCCTGCTGAACCAGAAAGTCTGCTGGCCTGAGGGAAGCCACGCGCCCTTGGCGTTTAGGAGGGTAGCTGTTGAAGTCGACTATGTTGCGGCACGCCGTGACGTAGTTCATGGTCTCGTGGGCTCCCTTGTCGCACATGCGCATCAACATCGCTGCCAACAATGTCGAAGACCTGTGCGCTCCGTTCATGCAGTGGATGAGCACTGAAAGCCCGTTCAGAAGGTCATCGATAACCTGGTCCAAGACCTCCAGCACATAGCTCATCTGTATGTCACCTTGGCTTACGCCGGTGCCATCCAACGGTGGATACACCTTCAGGGTGACGCTCTCGGCGATCGCCGGCTTCTTCGCCGCAGGCAGGATGACGGAGATGCCGTTCTTCTGGAGGAGGTTGATGTCGCTGCTTGCAGCTTCACCCCCCAGCCAAAGGCAGCCAGTGCCAAGGTCCGGGCTTATTGCACTCAGGTCTAAGACCAGGTGAAGGGGATGCCTGTGGAGGGCGCATGACTAGATTCCTAGCTTAGGCAATACAACTTACAACCATTAACTTAACTAAACTATGCAACAGCATGGCAGGACAAACGAGCCCTAGGAATCCGGGGTCTTGGGCGAGACTTGACTTAACTTGAACTATCCGTAGAAGTAGAAGGTTTCAGCCTCAGCAGCGCAGGTCGTATATTGAACTTTATAGTGTTTCAGTTTGCAAGAAGGTAGCAGTGCAACTCATATTTAAACAAGTTAAATAAGTGCGATAACATTATTATATCGAATCAGATGTATTATGCGTTGGTTTGTTTCTTAACATGATACCATGACGTTACAATGACACAATGGCATGACATGACTATCATTATCGTTTTTCGGGTCTTCAAGTTGTTCTCATCAGTATCGCTCTAAATTCTGAAATTAATGTTCAGTTCGTTGTGTGATTGTAAGTCATTGTAAGTAATATAATATTTAATATAGTATAGTAATGTATGTGTTGGATGGAGTTTTGGACCGGCCTCGAGTTGTAGACGTTGCGGGCCCACTTGACCGCGTCCACACCGCCATAGCTGTCTGCGACAAGGACCGAGTTCAAGGCCTTTATGGCTCTCACGCACTTGTCGGTGTCCTCGAGCATCTCTTCACTCGGCCAGAGGCCTCGGCACACGTCGTGCCGCAGGTCCTGGGGATAAAACGCTTTGCACAAGCCGTTCTTCTGGCACATCTTTGCAAGGCTCGCTGCCGAGGAAGCCATCGTGGCCGCGGGAGTTCAAGAGCTGAACCCCGCCAGAGGCGGCCGTAAGAGTTCGCAAAGAGAAAGAGAAGCGGCTGTGGGATTCGCAGCGAAGAATCCAGTGAAGTGGAACCGAAAGCTATGAGAGACAGATGCAGCTGCCAGAATTCGAACTCCGCAAACTGCAAAGCCGAAAAGCTGCGATAATAAAAACAAAGAGTCAATGAGTGCCATGGGATACTGTCACAGCTTCAATGAAGTAATGAAGCATAGCATTGCAACTTGCAACAGTATAACCAGGACTGACCGCTTTAGTGAACTACCACCCATCAATATCAGCATGTCACCACCTGAACCAATTCAAAATCTCAACATCAATGTCAATATCGAAAAGTCAAGTACATTAACGACATTAAATTAAATGCATCATGTCAATGACCGAATGGCCTAATGATGACCTGACTTGGCGTGATGACTAATGACTCATGTCTCATGTCTTAATGTCTTATCTTATCTAATGACATCCTCGTGAAGCGTAAAGTAAAATTCCCAAACACCCATCGGCTTCCCGAACTGACACTCGACAGTCTAGACATGCCACGCGCAAACAAGCCGGTCCTGTCCATGGCCCAGAGAAGAACTTCTGGAACTCCCTCGCCACAGCGGCTCGCTTGCCAGGCACGTCGACGGAGTCGCAGGAGTCAGCGTTGTCGGAGTTGGATGCGATGAGCTCCAGGAGGGCTTGGGAGCAACGCTGGCTAAAAGCCCACTCATCCTGAAGACCTGGCGGCACATCGTCCAAGACGACCAAGCGTCGCTCCATGGCTTTTTGCAAGCCTTTCACGACATGTCGCATAAGACTGCCAGACTTCAGAGTTTTCGCCACCGCAAAACAACCAGGCAAGATGCCGAGCAATTTGGTTGCCCTTTCGATGACGTTGCCGTTTCTGTGCTGCGTGCAGAGCGTCGGAAGCAATAAAACGTTGTCGGGACACGTCGCCTCAAGGTACCTCAACAGCTTCAGGTTTGAAGCTGCAGCATCACAGGTTACCAAAACTGCCCTCAGCTCAGCATTGATGTTGCAGACACCTGGCCAAAGGCCGCCAGAACCAGAGCACAATGCCGGCCACATAGTGGTGGCCTTCTTGGTTGGAATGCCTTTGGGTGCACGAATGATGTCTGCATCCCTCACTTGCCCGGAAACAGCGACTGTGAGCTGTGCGTGGGAAGCTAAAACACTCCACGAACCAGGACCAAAGTCGTCTACTGCTAGCTCCAGCTCAGTTTCGTCCCACATCATGTTGTAAATTGCAAATGCCAAAGACGCGGGCCCCTCGCCTGCGTCATGCTCTACTTGGCTCACAAGCCGAGCCAATCCCTCATTCTGTTCCGTTTCGATGCAGTCAGCAACGAAACACTTGGTCTCCAAGGCCTGCATCGGGCTGCCCCCGTCCACTTGGGCCGCAACTTCACGGCTGGCCATGGATTCTTTGGCAAAGCCTGCGCGAAGAACAGCTTCAGGTGTCCAAGTCTTCCACTGGCCTTTTCCCTTGGCCTGAGGCCGCTTTGCTCTGCTGCTTTCGGGCAGGAGATGGTCGGAGGTTCTGCTGCGGCCAAGGCTGTTGGAAGCTTGGGCTTGCAAGGTGAAGGCATCATCAGCTTGCTTGCGGTGGCCCGCTTTGGCCCGTTTGCGACTTTCCTGCTTGCGGTTCCAAGCCTTCTCCGCGGCGTTTTGCCCCGCACGTCGGCCAAAAGGCCCTGCACGTCGGCCACCGCCCCCAGCACGTCGGCCAGGAGGCCCGAGCTGCCTTGGACCCCCTCCGCCGTACTGCAGCGCCAACCCAGCAAGCTGCTGAAGATCCATGGCATCCACGGCACACGCCACAACTTCCCCGGCGCTACTGACAAACAACACTGACTTACACTGCTACTGCTGTTACGCACTACAACCGAATCGGCAGTCAAGTCATGCTGCGAAAGTCGGAAACAGCGAGCAAAATACCCTGGCCAAGACCACAAAAATATAAACATACATTATTCTTGCTGCTTGCTACATCGCATGAGATTCCGTGGCAACAGTACGAAATGTTGAATATGATCATGTAACAATACTCTTTGTTGCTACAATGGTATTAGAAAAATATTCATAAATAGTCATAAATATTTTGAAAATATTGGATCATTATTGAATAATATTAGTATAATATTATTATAATATTATCATAATAATATTATATATTATTATAATAATATATAATATTATTAGAATATTATTATAATATTATTATAATATTTTTACAATATTATTGTAATTATTAGAATATTAAATAAACATTATTAAATATTCACAAAATATTAAGAATATTATAAAAGATATTTCTAAACATATTAGAATAGTTTGACCTGGATTTCAGGGGGGTCCAAACACCGGCTTTCTAAATACACCTAATTTATATGAAAAGACATGAGTACCACTAGTGTCCTTACTAATATTGTACTGCTGGTAGTAGTTGTCGTCGTGGCCGTTGTCGTAGTAGTAGTAGTAGTAGTAGTAGTAGTAGTAGTAGTAGTAGTAGTAGTAGTAGTAGCCGCAGTAAGTAGTAGTAGTAGTAGTAGTAGTAGTAGTAGTAGTAGTAGTAGTAGTAGTAGTAGTAGTAGTAGTAGTAGTAGTAGTGGTAGTAGTCGAAATACTCCAACTACTACACAACTACAACTACAACTACTGCTACTACTACTACTACTACTACTACTACTACTACTACTACTACTACTACTACTACTACTTCTAATACTACTAGGACGACTTCTACTAAATACCACTACCACTACGACTACAACTACTCCTAGTACTTACTGCTGCTACTACTACTATTGATACTAATACTATTACTTACTAATACTACTCCTAAGACAAGTACTATTAAACTCCTACTACAACTACTTTACTACTACTACTACTACTACTACTACTACTACTACTACTACTACTACTACTACTACTACTACTACTACTACTACTACTACTACTACTACTACTGATTACTAATACTACTACTAGACTACTACTCAGTTTTGATAGGATTAGTACTATTGGCACTGATGAGAGTAGTAGGAGTTAGCAGGAGTAATAGTAATAGCCAAAGTACTACTAGTAGTGGTACTAGAAGCAGTAGTAGTATGCCACTATAGTAACAGTAATACTACTGTAATCGTGATCAACGTCGCAGTAGTTTATTTCTTAATACTGTTTACAGTAAGTGGCGCACACAAACAATGGGTCGCCAGCGGCCCCACGGCCAAGCGGGTCCCGCTAACGGGTCCCGTTGACGGGTCCCGTTGACGGGTCCCGTCGACGGGTCCCGTTGCCGGGTCCCGTTCACGGGTCCCGCTGACGGGCCCCGTCCGCGGGTCCCGCAAACGGGCCCCAGTGACGGGTCCCGTTGACGGGTCCCGCTGACAGGCCCTGTCGACCCGCAGACGGGCCCCTTCAGCAGGTCCTGAACAGGTCCGTGGGACTAGATGTATTGTAGTCTTAAATTGCAGCAACGGGTGCAAACGGGTCCCGCCCACGGGTCCCGCCCACGGGTCCCCCACGGGTCCCGCCAACGGGTCCCGCCAACGGGTCCCGCCAACGGGTCCCGCCAACGGGTCCTGCCAAAAGCTTGCCAACGCATCCCGCCAAGAATTCCCGTGCATATTCCTTAATGCCCAGCAGGATGCGAGCCACGACATCAGAAGCCACCACCACGGGACCCGTTGGCGGGACCCGTTGGCGGGACCCGTTGGCGAAATCAGGCTGCTCTGACTGAGGACTAAGCTGAAAACAAATCTCAATTGTCTACCACGTTCAAGGAGCTTCTGCTCCTGCTCTGGGAGGCATGCTCCAACGGGACCCGTTGACGGGGCCCGTAAGCGGGACCCGTGGGCGGGACCCGTTGCTGGGACCCGTTGCCGGGACCCGTTGGTGGGACCCGTGGCCGGGACCCGTGGCCGGGACCCGTGGCCGGGACCCGTTAGTGGTTCGTTGATGCCACATGCCCCTTGATACTAGTGTACGAATACTATTAATAGTACTAGTACTAGTAGTACTAATCTTACTAATACTACAAGTACTATTAGTACTACTAGTATTGCTGGTACTACTAGTACTACTACTACTACTACTACTGGTCTGGTACTACTACTACTACTACTACTACTACTACTACTACTACTACTACTACTACTACTACTACTACTACTACTACTACTATCACTATTACTTCTACTACTACTACTACTATTACTACTACTACTACTACTACTACCTACCACTACCACTAATACTGCTAAGACTGCTATGTGCGACTACTACTATTACTACCACGACAATACTACTAGAGCTAGTACTACTATTATTTACTATTGCTACGACTACCACTAGTCGTCGTATCGTACTGATGGGGCTGCCTTTTGTCTTCTGAGCTGCAGGTGATAGTCGTACTTCTACCGCGATTAGGAACTTCAGGAACTACGAATAATAGCAATACTTCGGATGTTTTGGTGCTTGTACGCATTTTTTGTTGTCTTACTTCTGAGTCGTAGTGCCACTACTTACCAACACCAGTCACTCCTACCACTGCTAGGCGGTGATACTGCCCCCAGTTGGTGCCACCTAGCAACTGACCAGACGAAAATTCACCATCGGCGTTGGTAAAGATGCTTGCCAGCAAACCAGCAATGGTTTGACAGAGCCTGACTCCAAAGTCTTCGTTGATATCGACAATGGTCCCACCTCGCATCGGAACCTCATTATTATTTGATTGATTGAAGCGAACTGCGACCAAATGGACCGTCTTCTTCGTCTACTTAGCCAAGCCACAACGCCCAGCAAGCCACGTTTGGAGGTGACCTTTCGGACCTGTTCGTCGCCGTGGAGCAAGGAAACCTTGTATCTGACCACCCGCCAAGGCTCCTTGTCATCCACAAGAAGGGACACACAACTGCTGTTGACCAGGTCCGACTCTCGGCGGCGACGGATG